TCGGTCTTAACATGGACGATTGCTTAGTGAAAATGACTGGTCGGTTGCGTTCTGCAAGATACGGGCATAGCTTCCATCGTGAACTGAATGTGGCATAAATATTGTTAACAGAGTTGGACAAATTTCATTTCAAGCAATGAATAACAAATTGCACGTTATATATTACATTATATATTATAATAATTATATATTATTATATAATTATATATTTTTATTATTATTATATATTATAATAATTATATATTATTATATAATTATATATTTTTATTATTATTATATATTATAATAATTATATATTTTTATTATTATTACATATTATAATAATTATATATTATATTGCAAGTTAATATAATGTATGATAATGTTCGAAATATATGTATTATATATAAGGTGTCCCAAAATTATGTTATTTCCGGGAAATGAAGGGTTCCTGAGGTCATTTGAAGTAATTCTTTCCTTATCGAAAATGCAATCCGCGACTACGTTCACGAGTTATTAACGAAAAACACTGACCAATGAGACGGGAGCTCTGGTGGTGCAAAGCGGCCACTCATTGGCTCGGTCGCCTCACGCATGCCGAGCTCGCCTCTTATTGGTCACTGTTTTTCGTGAATAACTCGTAAACAAAGCCGCGGATTGCATTTTTGCTAAGGAAAAAGTTACTTCAAATGATCTTAGGAACCCATTTACCGGAAGTGACATAATTTTGAAACACCCTGTATATATACATATTAATTTTGAAATATATATATTTCGAACTGAATGCTTCATTGGTAAATAATTTATTCGATATAACAATCGTTTATTATTTCCTATTTACAAAAAAAAAATGTTACTTTTTATTCGGATTTTAAAGTCAAAATACTTAAATCCTTTGAAACTTTAAATTCCGATGTGTCTTGCAAGTTGCGACGAAAGTTGTGCCCGCGTTATAGTGAGTCAATCTGTACATTGATATTATCAGCTACTGCAGGATGAAAATGTTGGTCAACTGTCGCGCTGGCATTTGGCACAATACTCCACCAGCATTTTATTTAGAGGTCTATCGGGATCTCTAATGTCCGCGGATCGTTAATGTTACCAAGGTACACCGTCCGATCGAGCTCGTTCCAATTCGATGATCGGATGATAACCGTAATTCAGAAAATCCGGGGATCGTCGATCTTTGCTGTGTGTCACGTGTAAGAAGCCAGTTTACTCGCGCGAGACGATCGACAGGAAACATAGTGCAATGACACCCCCGCAGTTGTACGCGCGATTCTGCAGCAGCGGCGAACGTTTCGAACCGTGTTATGTGTAACATGCCCAAACAATCATTCTTAACGTTCAATATCAATTAACCAATTTCTATGCACAGAACTGTAACAGAAGCTCGCACAGTGAAACACAATAATTTTACCCAAACAAAACGCTATTGTCTGCGAGTACACCTCGTCCGACTGCTTCAAACGTCGCGATTTCCATTTTTCAGCAGAAATTTTACGACGACGTGCGACACCTGGCAACATGCATTCGATCGGACCGATCAAGCTTATTTGTTCAAATAATCATTTGTTTACTTATTTGTTTAAGTTAAAGTGCCGGTTACGGAAAGCTTTTCAGGAATTATGAGATTACCATCGACTTTATTACAATTAAAAGTATTTATTGTTAAATATATTTTTACTACTGTTTCTAGATAACGTACCGAAGTTATATTTGTTTCATATTTATTTAATGCGAATAGAAAATAATACGAGTGAAATGATGAAGTACGAGCATGTACCTATTAAGGAACACCGTTGTCATATTACGTTCCCGTATCTCACAAAAAGCAACATATTCATAAATAATCTTAACTACAAGAGCATCTCGATATTATTATATCTTTTAATTTGTGCAGAAAGCGTTTAAGTGAATAATTCATTTTCTCTTTCATTCTTTTATATCTGTTAGTAATAAAACAAACTTGTATACTATAAACTATATAACATCGACGTTATAAATTTAATCCAAAGTGTAAAATTACATTTTCTCATTTTTCATTCTTCTGTTCTATTCTCGAGCATTTTTTTGCTTGCTGCAACTATTATTTTTCTCCTCAGTTTTACCTGTTGAATTCACGATTCTTTTATTCGACTTGCGCAATTCTTTCCTTTCTTTATTTGAAATTAAAGTCACGATTGAGGCAGTGTTTCGTAGTAGATACTTTTACCTTATTAAAGATCATTCTCAGTAACCATTCATGCGAATGTTAATGTAAACGCGCACACGTTCGTTTGTTTCACAAGCAACATTTATTTGCAAATCCCTATTATCATCCTCATCGTTCGAAAGTATTACCATGTTACTTCGATTTTGTATAATTTTCTGTATAATATCGTCAACTCTTTCGTCATAATTGCACAATATATAAACCGTTGAAAGTAATAATAATGTAAATAAGCAAAAAATAATTTGTGAATAATCAAAGATGAACTGAAAATCCTATAAAACCCAATAACATAAAACATTGTTTTAACTCTTTCATGTAAGCCATTTTCAAGCTTCGATTTAAAACGATAAAAAACAAAAAATATTAAACTAAATATGATTTAATAACATTAAATCACTCTAGCAAAGAATTGAACGGCTCATATATTTACGTTTTGAATTAACGAAGAAATTACTGTTTGAACAATGACAATCACGAGTCCGGTTAAATATTTGTTGCCAGGTATAGCGTCGTGCGTAGCGTTCGCAGGAAAATAAGTCAGGTCTGACTTGGAAGGGGTCGGGATAGATGACGCATGCGCCGGGTGTCGCGCACAGCGGCGCGGCGCGTCTACCGAGTGAATCTTATAATTCTGAACTACGATCGCGACGCGACTGGCGCCTCTGTGCTTGTAGTTCAGGATTATAATCAATGTTGTCAGACATCATGTTTTTTCAGTGCTTTTCGTAGCGGAGAGGACACTGTAGTGCTGCTGGCTAACTGCGGCACTGCGAAAAGCGCTAAAGAAGCATTCTGCCCAACAACACTAATTATTAGACGGCTGATTTTCATGCAAAATCAAAATTGTTTGCATCAATCGCAAGAGATTGGAGAGCCAGATGGACATTTCGTTCTCTCTTTCATAATTTCAATCGGTTGTAACAAGTGCATTGATATTTTTCAATCATCTCAACTTTTTCACTGTCTTAAGTTACACCTTCTCACTTTTGTCATAATTGCATCAAATCCACGGTCTACTCATTATAATGTACGCGCGTCAAGCGTGTCACTTTTCCGTACGAGACTCGCGGCGCATGCGTCATTTATCCCCACTCCACCGAAGTCAGAACTGACTTACTTTCCTGCGAACGCGGGGCGCGCGTCGAAAATATTCTTCGTGTCACTTCTAACACGGGGACGACAATGGGGTGCCAAGAGAGCGGAAACTGGGATGCATACAATTAGGGAAGCATCATTGACTATGCCAAGTCCAGACGATTCGTGACGATGAAGCAAGGGGTCCCAGATGCTTGACCGCTCTTGGAATTTCTAATCAAGGACAGCGGCGTCGATTGGTGTCTAGCGTGTTCAGTGACTCGGAAATTAATTTATACAAATTCATAAGAGAGATTCGTTCGTTTAAGTTTGTAGCAGAAATAGAAATGTGCTGTGGACTGGTGGGGGAAAGACTCACAAATGGGATTGGATGATCCCATTAGATAGCCAACGGAGCCCATTTGCGAGGTCCCCCCACCACCACTCTACAGCAAATCCCCATTTTTACTATAAATTTGAATCAATAAATTACTCTTATAAATGTATATTAATTAATTTCTCATATGTATATATAATTATAATTTATATATATATATATATATATATATATATATATATATATAATTTCTCATATGTATAAACTAATTTCTCTTATGAATTTATATAAATTAATTTTCACGCGTGTATCGGACGCGTGGATGGGTAATTCCGCCACTTCCACTTTCCTGAAAGAAAATCTCGAAGCGGTCAGTCATCTGAGACCCCTGCGATGAAGTGACGTCGAATGATTTCACGCTGTCGACGAGTCTTCTCTCATGTTTCTTTTTTTTTTCTTTTTCATTCGTTGTTGATCGCTTGCGGTTGGCTCGCGCGTTCCCGGTCATTGCGTTTTGTTTTTCATTCAGAGAGTNACGATGAAGCAAGGGGTCCCAGATGCTTGACCGCTCTTGGAATTTCTAATCAAGGACAGCGGCGTCGATTGGTGTCTAGCGTGTTCAGTGACTCGGAAATTAATTTATACAAATTCATAAGAGAGATTCGTTCGTTTAAGTTTGTAGCAGAAATAGAAATGTGCTGTGGACTGGTGGGGGAAAGACTCACAAATGGGATTGGATGATCCCATTAGATAGCCAACGGAGCCCATTTGCGAGGTCCCCCCACCACCACTCTACAGCAAATCCCCATTTTTACTATAAATTTGAATCAATAAATTACTCTTATAAATGTATATTAATTAATTTCTCATATGTATATATAATTATAATTTATATATATATATATATATATATATATATATATATATATAATTTCTCATATGTATAAACTAATTTCTCTTATGAATTTATATAAATTAATTTTCACGCGTGTATCGGACGCGTGGATGGGTAATTCCGCCACTTCCACTTTCCTGAAAGAAAATCTCGAAGCGGTCAGTCATCTGAGACCCCTGCGATGAAGTGACGTCGAATGATTTCACGCTGTCGACGAGTCTTCTCTCATGTTTCTTTTTTTTTTCTTTTTCATTCGTTGTTGATCGCTTGCGGTTGGCTCGCGCGTTCCCGGTCATTGCGTTTTGTTTTTCATTCAGAGAGTGGATGACACCAAAGTCGTTCCTGTATTATTGGTTTCAGCTACAGTAAAGCGTTCCTCGGAACTCCCGTCACAAAATTAATGCGTGCATCGAAAGCACGGAACGAGTATTTTGTACTTCATGCGGACTACACGGTTCTACGTGACTCTACGCACTGTATACCTGAAGGCAGAGTCATACCTGTCGAACCGTCGCAGCCTTCGGTGTGAGAAGAACATCCTCCTTCTCCTTCAGCATCTAGCCCCGCACAACACACAACACAACAAGTGTATCACTGCAGCTAATTATTTGATCCCAGGGCTACCGTACCGTTCTTTCGCTACCCACGTGATATCTAACCCCCCCTTCTTTGACCAAATTCTTCTTTTCAACTTCCGAATCGTAAGCGCGACCACTAATCGCAAGAATTAATCGCGAACATTTCACGCCTTCTTCCGATTCAGTCTTTTCTTTTTTCAACTGGACGTAACAAATAGGGTAGCGGAGCCCATTACTGTGAGGTGGCTTTGGTTTGTTCTCGGGCATAATTAATTTTATATTCATCGAGTTAGACGTGCTAAATTTTTGTTTGTTCTTTTATTTCGTTTATTTTTGAGTGAACAAAAATTAATGTGGCTTATTCGATCATTGCGAAATTAATGGTATTTTTATTAATTGTATTTTATCGAACAAGACGTGTTACATTTTTTCATTCACAAATATACGAAATAAGAGGATGAGAAAATATATGAATATGTTCTACTCGATGAATGTAAAATGAATTACACCCGAATTAATTAAAATTAATTGGATACCCCACGGTGATCGGCTCCACCTCCCTACATCGAAAATATTGTTATCATTTTTGAAAATTCTATTGTCGTGTATGAAATTGAATTTTTGCAGCAAAAGTTCCATATTCCATCGACAATCGATGATTATTTCATGGTTCATGCGTGTAGTTTATTCGAACAATGATATGACACTACTACCCCTGGGAAAAAAGTATTCGGTCATCTTTTAAAATGCAATAACTTTTTAAAACTGCACCAAATGACTGTTTTATAAATGTTACAATATGTTATAAATGTTAGAGGGATTAGTTTACGGTACAATGACTAAAATATCGTTTTTAAATTTTGCCATTATTTGGAGGGACGAAAAGAATCTTCAAAAAATTCATGTCTCTTCACAAACAATTAAAGATGGCGAGAATCGCAGTTTTTCACGAAATGCAACCAAAATTACCATATTTGTATATCTCTACTTTCTATGAATTCTAACATGGAAATATACGAATACAACGTTTTCTTGAGTTTTCGCTTAAATATCGCTGTAATAAATCACCGAGATCTGCAAAATTAATTTTTTAAATTTTCATCGTAGGCTCAGATGATGAAGTTGGAAAATCATTCCAAGTAACAGCAAAATTAAACAAAAAAAAAAGCATTTCATTCATTCTACAGTAAACTAGTCTCTCCAACAGCTTCAAAAAATTCAAGTCACACAGACCAGTTTGAAAAAAAATGTACAACAATTTAAAAAGTGTCCGAACACCATTTTTCCAGGGTCTGTAAAAGTTCGAAGAACATATCAGGGTATAGTCTAGCTCGTCATTCTATATACAACGTTCTAAACGATTGTTAAACGAAATTACTAGATCGTAATGTAATCATTCAATCGTTAAATAAAAGAAACAGAAAACGAACACAAACAGAAACGCTAGTTCACAAACACTTTCAACGTTCTCTAGAACGATTAACGAACCAAGGAGTCGATTATGAACGCATTCATCTGAAATAGAAATGACAATGACGTTTCGTGAGCATCTTAATTTTTAAGCTCTTAACTTACCCGAACAAAATTGTACGTCTACGGCGAAAGAAAGCGTACAAGATACGAATGATTCGACGTTCTCGATTTTCTCGAAAATGGAACCGCGAATTCGACGGAAGGCCGGATCGATTTTCCAATCGTTTCTCGCGCGGCCACGATTACGCGAAGTTTCGCTCGTCCCTTATCGAAAAAGGAAAATTGGTTTTCCGCGCGAGCACGGTAAAAAATGACTGACATCAAACGATACTACATGCTTCATTGACAACCTGCGCACAGCTAATAACACATACATGACATCATGTTCACCAGCACATTCGTTTCATGACAGTAGCGAGAATAGTGGAGACAAATCGAAGAATTAAACGTGATAGGTATTGAGAAATGGATCGATAAGGCAATGGTATTTAAACGCGAAACATTTCTTTTTTTTTTCTTTTCCTCAGACATCGTTTTGACCGTTCGATACAATGCGATCTGCTGGAACCTATGATTTACCCTAAACGTTCGATCTTACGCTACAAGTCAATCAAAAGGACGATATACTCTTTTTTCCTGGTGGCATTGTTATGGATACACAGGGTGCGCCCGTTCAGTTCGTCACCATTTTTCAGACGTTTCCGGTAGTGCAATTAAAATATATTTCAGACGAAATTTGATCGTTGCTTGGTATAGGCTACGTATTCTTATATTCTTAAATTTCGAAAAATGCTCTTTACGTGAAAATGTCAATGTCATCTTTGTACAAAATTATAATTTTAGATTCCTCAAAGATTATCAAAATTTAAAACGTAATTTAAATTATATTAAAGTTCATTAGAATTAAAAACTTGAAATTTTATTACGGTTTAAATTGAAAATTTACTACAATTTAAATTAAAAATGTATTATACAATTTGAATTGAAAATTTAGTGCAATTTAAATTAAAAGTGTATTACAATTTGAATTGAAAATTTACTGCAATTTAAATTAAAAATGTATTACGATTTGAATTGAAAATTTAGCACTATTTAAATGAAAAATTTATTAGAATTTAAATGAAAAATTTAGTACTACTTAAATTAGAAATGTATTACGATTTAAATTAAAAATTTATTACGATTCAAATTTCTATAAAAATTCATTACAATTAAAATTTCTATTAAATTATATTATATATTATTATATTATCATTTCTATTAATATTTTTTAAATGACTCCATATGCTTTCGACATCTTAGCGTGTCATACTATGACTTTACAATGACCTCAAACTTGAAAATTTCGCGCAGACGTAATTTTAATTTTCTACAAATTACATTATGTTAACACCAATGACCTTGATAATTCCGAAAAAGTGATCTTGGGAAAGAAATAATCTTGCCAGGTATTGTAATATAATACGAATCATAATATAAATTATAATACGAATAAAAACAACAAGTGCATGTGATAACATAAACCGAGACGCCCTAATTACAACGACAACGAAAAGTCTAATTACAAAGAGCGGAGCTCTTTATTCTAAAAGAAGGTTCTCAAGTTAAAGTGACCTTGATATTTTTACGCAAAAAATAATTTTTCCAGAGTCAAGAATATGCGAACAAGTGGTCGACCAAGATAAAATTTTCTTTCGAATATTATTTGCATTTTTTTTTTAATTGCACTTTTTTCCAATGCATTCTTTTTTTTAATTGCACTATCGGAAATGCGTAGAAAACGGCGACAAGAATTTACGGGCATACCATGTATGTATATCGTGAAAAATTAGCCTGGTGATCTTCACTGGAATACCTTTGGCATTGGAAAAATGAAACGAGCGAATGACCAAAGACGAACACAATTTGGAAATGCGACCAAACGTAATCTGATGCATACTCTGCTAGTCTGCTTCGTATATTGAACGAATATCGCTGTCCTCGACGACACAGGGGGGGAGGGGGAGTGTTACTTTAATGCAGTTCTATCCAATTTCATTCCCATATCCTGGAAATTTTTGGTGATACTTCGAAATGCACTCCAATGTAAAGCAATGCATCCTCGTTGCATATGGTAATCGAATCATTTGTTCTTTTCAATCTCTACTTTTACCAACGTGTTTTTAATCGATAATTTGAATTTTAATTGATAATTATTTTCCATGTTCAATCGCTGTTAATAAATTTCACGTACAGTGATTATAAAGTTGATTTGACAAAAATAGCGTTAAGAGAGAATAATCCTTGTGATCGCATCATTGCATATTTGAAACTGTGCATAAATCTATATGTAATTTCCAATTTATACGTTTTAAATGATTTCATAACTTTGATTGCACTATTATATGGTAGTTAGTGGTTATATAGCAATTAGTTGCGCAGTGCAAACATATATTTTTATCGTACGATCTTTCGGTCGATAAATAAGCAACAAATTACAGCACTTGTATTGACCACGGAATAACTAAACAAAATTGTTCAGATGGAGTTGTTTTATCAAAAAAGAAAAAAATTCACATTTTTCTTTTGTCTCTCATTTTGTTAAATAATTTCTCATTTTGTTAAATTCATTTGCACGTCACCTTGTAACAAAAATAACGCTTTGCATTATTGGTGGCATTCTTATTTTTTTTTACAGCTAATTTCCAAAATCCTCGTTTATCTCAATTTTATAGAAAACTTCATTATCCATCCATATAATAATCTCCATTCAGATTCATTTGAAAACTGCACTTTCAGATGCACACTTTCAAGATCAATGATTTATAAATACAGATTAAGAAACATCTCGCAGAATAAATGTATTCTTCTGCGTGAAGCATTCATTCTCGAGCAATAAATTCGACATCTTGAAAACGGAAGCGCCTCGGAATGTTTTCAATTCCCTAGAGACCGTACAAAGCTTGCCGACGTCTGGGAAATGTCACGACGCTAACCGTACGCAACGAGACTGCACTACCAACACGGATCTCCGGCGGCAAATAGATCAAAGGGATCTCGTCGACGGCCACTTTCCAGAAAGACAGTGTCACCGTGAATCACGCCGCTCGGTCTCGACGCACAGCGGTACAGAAGCCCGAGATCATGGTCAAAACCCCAAAAATTCAAATTGTCGGCGACGAGATTTTAGCTTACTTATTTATCTTTAACGACGCCCCTATAGACCGGGATAAACGGAATGAGCCATAATTTTATACCCGAGTAACAATTGCATTTCGAACCTCGACTTTGTTCTGCAATCATTTCTCGCGAGCATGAGCAATACTGCGAAGTGCAAAGTGTAAAGCTCAAGTCTTCTTGTGGAAGGCGTTATTTTTTAGTTCTGTAAAATAGAGATTGTTCCTGGTGGTAAATACAATATTCTAGCGCAAACGTATCAATAATCGTTAACTGTTGCATTTGTAAACCGATAAATTGTAGATTCAAATTATATGAGAGGAAATGTTAATGCATTTATTGCAAAGTTATGGCCGTAACTTTCTGCCGTTGAACTTACTGCAGCGATAGTTTATACTTTTATCTTGCTGTCGTTAAAAAATTGGCTAGACCGAGTCGCAAATTTATCCATTATAACTATTTTTGATGCGACAACGTATAATGCACTGGCTCACGAAAGTACATATTTAAAACGGAATAACTTTTTTCAAAATCGTGCCGAATTATTTAAATTGAGATGTTCGCGAGAGACCACATTATTGGACAACGTCGAAAATTATATTGGGAAAGTTGCAAAGTAAAGAGCAAATGTTTCTGATAGTTAGGGGACATTTAAATAACGACACCGGTTCAATAATTAAACACTTGAAATGCGAAATATTTGTAGAAAAAGGATGCGTCATCGACATCGACGATGATGGGATGGGGACGATGAAGAAATAATTTCCATCGCTGACGGTGAAATGTTTTTTGAAATTTGAAATTCAAATTCGCAATCAGCGGCGATGAAAACCTTTGCATACAAATTTTCGATTAAATCCGTCAAAGTCTTACACTTCGACCATGATTTCGGGCTTCTGTGTCGTTCTCACGCAAGAAGAAAGCACCTATGTGTTTACATTTCTCCTGTTAGTAGCTGCAGCAGCTATTAACCCTTTGCACTCGAAGCCATTTCAACTGTAAATCTAAATTAACTTTTCTGACTTATAGTATTTCCATTTTATACGACAAATTGTATTTCATGCATATGAAATTGAGTCTTGTGACTCATGCAACAGTTAGACTCTTAACAATCTTTTTATATGTAAGCTTTGATAATACAAATATTATATTGGAACGTGATGTAATAATTTTAATGGCGCCTCAGAGTCACCACTCGAGTGCAAAGTGTTAAGAAGGGGAATGTAAACACAAAGATGATTTCTTCTCGCGCGAGAATATAGTAAATTCTCTCAAATAGTCCCTCAGCTTGGAATCGAGAAATGGACAACTTGGGAAGACCAGACACGATTCTTCGATCCTCGTGGCTCGCCTTTATAGTTGCCGACGTCTTGCGAGAGAGAGAGAGAGAGAGAGAGAGAGAGAGAGAGAGAGAGAGAGCGAAAATCGGGACAGTCGACAAACTTAAAAGCCAACGGCCAGCATATCGGTTTACATTAACACGAATACAAAATAACGCTGGAATAAAACCGGTGCCTTAACTTTTTCATTTCCAATCTTTTATAGATGAAAATTTTCTTACCATATTGATCAGATTCTTCCAATTAAAATGAGACCGAACACGACACGCTGTGGACCGTGTTTATTCAATTACATCGCGATTAATTTTCTTTGATGTAATTAGAAATATCTGTCCAAACTATGTCATGTTTGGTCTCATTTTAATCAGAAAACTATCAGCAGTACGTTAAACAGCAAATTCGGTTCTAAAATGTTACAATCGAAAAAGTGACGTTATCGTGTCACGAGTTGTCATTCCGGGAATTCTAGTTCACGCGTCGCGTGCCGCATCGCACGCTTGTCTGACTCCGGCGAACCTTGCGAACAACGCGTATGGGCGTAGAAATAACACAGGGATAAAGCGGGCAAATCTCTGACGGGGACAATGCGGGAGAATTTACTGTGACGCCGGTGCGCGAGGCGCGCGTTTTCCCTCCTCGAATCAGCGATTCTCTATCCCGACGACCTTGACAGTTAGGAGAACGGAAAGACAAGTGAACCACAACCGAACGCTACCGATCTTCAAGTAAACGATACTTCCAGCGGTCTATCGAGCAGCCGCGACGCGAACGTTTACCTTGTTCTTGTTTGTTCTTCTCCATCGCCATGTAGGCGATGCGCCGTTCTTGCAGCTCAGGCGAAGGTATCAGGCCCGCGGAACCCGCCGCGTTATCCTTCTGCGCCTGCCACCAATAGTGGTCGTCCTTGCTGATGATCTGCAGGATGTCGCCGGTCTTGAACGCGATCCCGGCCTGGGCGCACGGGATCAGCTCGTCCTCCAGCGGATCGTAGTCGAATTGCGCTCGTACGAAAATCTGTCGGCGTCAGAAACAGTCCGGTTGCGATTAATCTTGCCACGGGGACAGGCCACTTCGAGAGTTACTTTTTACACGTATGCTCGCTAGTCGATAATTAGTGATTCTGTATATGAAATCGGTGAAGTGACATCCAAGTATAATTATCGTTATTCGCGACGGTGTCGCAGGAGGGGCGCAAAAAAGTGTCGGCCGCTCGCGAACGCTCGTTTCGGCTTCGAATCTCGGTTCGGCAACTGGAAAGATTTCGACGAAGCGAATCTTTCGCAGATATCCGTTAGGTATTTCTTTGCATTTGGGCCTGTTACTGTAACCAACTGGCGCTGTGCCTTTGCGTTGTTTTCTCGCATAAGTAACTTTATGTTTATCGAATAAGACGTGTCACACTTTTTAGTAAGAAAAATAAACAGAAGGGAGAAACAAAAACATTATGTTCATCGAATAAGACATAATAACAATGATAAACAAAATAAAAGAATGAGAAAATTATATTTATCGAATAAGATATATTAAATCGTTCTACTCTTTTATGTTGTTTATCTTTCAACTCGTTTATTCTTCTGTTTTGTTTATTTTTTAATTTCTTCGTTCTTCATTAGCTTTATTTTCTAATGTTTTTATCCTCCTTTAAAGCCTTTATCTTTCAGTAAAAGAATTTAACATGTCTTATTCGATAGATACGATTCTTTTATTCATTCTGTTTATTTTCGAATGAAAAAATTTAATATGTTTCCTTCGATAAACACAATTTCTCGTCTCTTTATTCTGTTTATTTTCGAATACAAAAATTTAATAAAAGTAATAATGTTTAATTTGCATTCCTTTATTTCGTTTAATTTCCAAGAAAAAAATTTTAATACGTCTTATTCGACAAATGTAAAGTTAATTATGTCGCGAAAACGAACCAAAGGCGCGGACAATTGGGTCAGCGCCCGGTAACCGGCTCCGCTACCATAACAGTCGGTTTGCAAAGACGAAGCGAAGCGAACTTTCGGGAGAGACAGCCGAAGGAACAAGAATGTCAACAGTGCAAGAAAATTGGTATTCCGTTACGGTTCTTTCGTGGGTGTCGGTGGGGGTACGGAGAAGGGTGGAAGGTAGATTAACGATCTCTCACTCGGATCACCGAAACCATTTAGGTTAATAGAGAATCACGTTAGAAGTAATTACTCGTTGCCTCGGAACGTGGCCTGGAACGAGGGGGGACGCGGCTCGTTCCGTCGCGTCGCGGCATCGATCGCTGTGTTTGATTTTGCGACTCCAGCTAGGCTAAGGCTATTTGGCAAATGAAGTCGATCATGGCAACAAGCTTCGAAACAAGCCGAAGATATGCGACAAGTGTGCAAGCGTTAGGCGATAGAGTTCTGGCAAAGAGCTGCGATCAATCATGCTCCTCTAAGAAAAGAAGGTTCTTCCGGTGTCGCGTGAACGCCGGCGGGACGTTCACGATCTTCGGAAGGAGGAACACGCGTCATTCTCAGCCATCTCTCGTCCCGTTCTCCTCCAATACCGAGTACACGAGGTCATCGAGCGTTTTTCTTACAAATAGCAAACGGTAGACGAAATAAATATTAGAGAAAAGTGACAGGAAAAAAGGTGTACTGTGTTCTGCGAGCAATGCGACGGCGACTGTAATCTTTTTCTTATCTACGTTATTTTGTTTACGAAACGAAGGCGATTTCCATTTCTTTAACCCGAGAAAGATAACCTACGTCGCAGAGGCGCCTGCGAAGACTGTTGATTTTTGTTAATTTTTCATAGAGGTCTAGTGATTTAAGTTTAAAATTACTTAAAATATAAAAAAATATAATATAAATGCATTTTATTTTTACAATAATGCCAAACCTTTAAAATGACTAGATTAACTTAAATAAATATCCATTGTTAGTATAAAATTGACGCCTTAGAAAAGCATGCGCCTCTGAAGCGTATGGTTATCTTTTACGTACGTTGTCATATGGTTATCTTTCTAGGGTTAAATGCAACGCTACGTAATTTTTTACATCGTACGAAAGTGCGTGCAAAACGAATTGTTTCGTATACGATATAATCAAAAGTTCGAGGCCTTGCAAGGTCAAATGGGGGCATTCGTGCACAAACAAATTATATCGAACGTTCACCAGAGCACAATAAACTGCACCCGATGCATGTTCAATATGACTCCTTTGTGCATGAAATCCTTCATTTGACGTCGTATGCGAATGAATTCGTTTTGACCGAGGCCTCCATATATATAAAAAAATGCATAGCATTCCATTCAAAAAATCTTCCATTTAGGAAATGCATCATGCATTTATATCATCTTCATCTCTAAAAAAATAATTCAGACAAAAGAAATTACAGTCGTCACAGAAAACGTTACGAAAACGTTACATCGCTTACAAGAAACAGTATAACCTTCTCCTCTTTCGTTTCTTTTCGAACGTTTACTGGTGCTTGCGAGAAAAACGCTGGCTAGATTTAGCGGGAGCACCCTGTGCGTGACGATCGGTATTACAGTGTCTTATACAGGTTTTATTGTCGGGCTCGTATGTTAACCAGCGATCGATGCGGATCCGCCACGTCGAAGCACCGTTGAAACACTTTACGAAAGAGGATGTGTAGTCGTTTCGCAATCAAATTCGCGTAGACTGCGTCAACTGCGGCGACAAATTCTGTTACGGTGCTGGTCGAGATCACCGTTGCCGTACGTTCTCGCAAATCCCACGTGACTCGATCGGTGACGTCATGGCCGAGCAACTCGGCAGAGCAGAGGTAGGGGGCAGCAGAGTTGCCGGGGACGCTGCCGCGTTTGCGATTGGTCGCGTCGCGTCGGTCGACTACGCCTCCTCTACCCCCACTCTGCTGAACTGCTCGTCCGTGACATCGCCGATTGAGTCACGTGACATTCGAGGGAACCCGCGGCAACGGTGGTCGAGATACTGTGTTCCTAACTGTGGCAATGTATTCTGCGAGCATTCTGGGATGTAAAGCTCAATTTTTCTTTCCGTCATTTCGATGGAGTTCTAGCTTCGCGAGCATATCGGTTCGAATTCCATTCAATTTCGCAAGTTCCTCGCGTTAAATAACTATTTTTCTCCCAAGTTTTTATTTACAGTCGCTTCAGCTGCTTTGTTTCTTTAGCGACTGTACGATCTGCTTTGCTATACCAGTTGTTAAATTTGTCTCCTTCGGGTGTTTGACGAAGTTCTTTTGCGTTCGTAGTTTTGCGTATAAATCGAACATTTCGATTCTTTCGCCGCGTGCACAGAGTTGAGATAAGAGACTGAACGGGTACGACATAATGGAAAGAGCTTTGTACCAGAGAAGCAGTATCAGTTTCGTGGAATGAAGTTAGAATAAAAAATGCCCGATTATCAAGAACGATCGATGCATCGAGTCTTCGAAATTAGAAATATTTAGTTGAAGTGTCTTGAGTAAAAATTCATTTCGACACTGTGTACGACTTAACGACAGCAGCTTATGCCGTGTTTAAAATTGCAAAAATTCATAAGAGAATTACAAAATAGTGAAAATATTGCAAGAGTTCAAGAGCACTTGTTATATTATTTTCAATTGATTAAAACTATTAAAAGAACAGATGCATTTTTATTTCACTCGTGTTTCATGCAATTAATGAACATTTTTATTTTGCATAGAGATCCGCCGTCTACTAACGATTATAGATATTCGTATTTCTTTAAAGACTGCTTAAAACTGTATTCTTTGTAAAACTATTTAAAAATGTATTTCTTTAAAAAGTATTCAAAAATATTTTTTAAAAACTATTTAAAAACGTGTTCCTTGAAAAACTGTTGGAAAATATATTTATTTAAAAACTGTTTGAAACTGTATTTCTTGAGAAACTATTTAAAAATGTATTTCTTTAAAAACTATTTAAAAACGTATTTATTTCTTCAAAAACTACTAAACGTATTTCTTCTCTTAATGATTTGAATCGATTGAAGGTAACACATAACAGTGTTCGTCAGTGCCTCCAATATTTTCATATTGTTTCAAATGCACAAATTCATAAAAATCCGTAGTCTAGTTATAAAAGGAGGTCTTTTGACTCTCGATCTTTTCGATCGATGCGAAAAATTCTGCATGAAAATCAGGAGTCATATAACCAGCCGCAGAAATAATTTATCATCACCGAGCGACGTTAACCCTTTGCATTCGAGTGGTGAGTCTGAGGCACCGCTGAAATTATTGTATCACGTTCTAATATCACTTTTATATCATCGAAGTTTAGATTATAAGTATTATTAAAAACACAACTGTTCTATAAATCGGGAGACTCAATTTCGTATGCATAAAATGCACTTTGTCATGTAAAATTGGAATTACTGTAAGTCAGAAAGATTATTTTAGATTTACTGTTAAAATGGCTTCGAGTGCAAAGGGTTAAAAGGGAAAGTTAGCACGCGAATTCGTCTCTATATCTCGCAGAATGTATTGCCAGAGTGCGACGTCCTGCAGATCGTTTTCACGGAAGCGACGATCATTTTTCACGGCGAAGCGTTTACTGCAAACGACAGTTTGTGTGTGTGTGAAACGGTCGATTCTGAGTTAAACCGGTCTCAGTTTACAATGTGACCGCTGAAGGGAAACGCGATCGAGTCTCCATATTCGTAAAGCGTTAGTTCTATTGGCTCGCACACTTCCGAGCAACTCGGTCGAAAAGATTGTCTGCTTGATACGGTGTCGCTGGTTTTTGCGAGAAGTTGCTTCTCTCGGTTTGTCGCGATAGTGATCGAGTTAGAAAGAAACTAAAACACCATTCTGTAGTCACATACACGTTCTGGGTAATCACATTGACAAAACGACGTCTGCACGACGAAAGTGGTTCGTTGCGGCGCTCGGGAGGCATTCGACAGGCTCGAAACAGTTCTGCGCGGTTTGTAAGCAGCGTTTTACTTACGGTTCGAATTTCATTAGGCTGAAATAACATAGTCGACCTCTGCTCAAGTGCAGCTGCTTTGCTACTGATTCATTTCGCGTATGGAATGGCGGATATT